ATAAAATAACAATAAAAAAAATAATAATTTATAACAAATAAATAAATGACAATGAAGAAAAAGAAAGTAATATTCTGAGGTAACTGCCATATTTTATTCAATAACTACTAATAACTATCAGCAATTTTCGCCCTTTTTTTTCTGTCTTTTTTCTACCATTTCTCCTTCTTTCTTTTTTTTTTTTTTATTATTATTATTTTGATGATAGACAAGAAATTCTATGAGAGAAGGATTGATGATTGGATGATGATAATACCCGTGAAGAGATTACATCAAAAATTAGATGATATAAAGTGTCGCATTGGTCACAACATTGAAACCTGTTGAATGGAACTAATCATTTCGTTCTTTTTATGATTTATGTGTGCGAACACATTCACATACATATTCTTATATAAATAACTGTAGGTGTAAACGTCAATTTATTTAATAATATTTATATAGTAAGAAAGTTTATAAGGAGTAAGAAGGGAAGGAAAAGTTTATTCCATTCCTTTTTATTATTGTTACTCTCATCTGTGTTGTTGTTGTTGTTGTTGTTGTCATTATTCTCGTTGATCGTTATTGTTTATTACTATTATTATTGTTCTCATATTTCTTTTCAATGATATGATAATGGCTGTGAATGATGGTGTGATAGAAGAAATGCTAACAAAAGTAATGAAATGTTATCATTTCGAGACAACAATATGTGAATTTGTAAATTTCATTACATTTGTTCACTTCATTTTTTTTACTCTTTTTCAATTTTGTGATTTTTACTAATTTTATTGATTTTTCACTCTTTTAAAAATTAATTTGATCAGTAGTTAATGACAATTCATATATTTTGTAATTTGTAATTCGTTATCCTTTTCTTTATTTTTTCTATTTTTATTTTATTTTTCTCTTAAAAATTTGTTTAGGTAAAGCTATATTTATTTTATCTAAAAATTTTTGCAATTAAAACAATAAAAATGAAAAACAATGGCGTAATAATTTTGTTCATCTATGCATAAGCAGATTATCCTTTTTGGATAAATTTTCATTTTTTTTTTTTAAAAAATTTTTTCTAAGCAGTTCAAGATAAACTATTTAGGCTATTTTGAATTTTAAAACAATGTATCACGGGATATTTCCATTCTTTTTTCATTTAAATGAAATTGTAAATAGTCTTTTTTTAAGGGATTAAAAAAAAAAAAAAAAAAAAAAAAACAAGAAATTAGATTCGGAACAAATCACTGAACATACCTGATCATAATGTCGAATCAGGTTCTTAATTAATAATAAATCATCAAACGCTCAATCTGAAATACATATTGACGGAAAAGTATGTTTGCAAGAACAAACTGCAGCATTCATCTTAGCAAACATTTTCTGATATCAATTATTGTGTAACTAACTTAAATTACAACAACAAATTGCATTAATTGTAAATAATTAAAAAGTAAATGGTCATTCATTGTTAATCAGAAGAAATTGCATTGCGCCTGAAGCAATTTATTCTCGAACAGGACGAAATTTACTCCGAAAAGTTTTTTTTCTCGTTTTTTATCCAAATTTAATTTCAAATATATGTAAGAAAAAAAAAAGGCTCTAAAGTATTGAATTTTATATGAGGAATACTAAAAAAGATTTCAACAAATTGTATACTAAAATTTCATTACTTTGTTTTAATTTCATTTTTTCAGGTTTTTTCCCAGAGTTTTTTTTCTTTCTTTTTTCTTCTTCTTTTTTTGAGATTATCTGTATTGAATGGAATGAATAATAATGAGTGATATGAATTGAGGATGAAGATAAGATGGGCAATTTACATGTCATTTTGCCTTCGGGCATTTTTTTTTTCTTTTTGAAATTTAATGTTATTACAAGAATGATTTGTACAGAAACAGGTCCATCCTCATTACTAAACAATGATCCGAACACTGTTCACTTGATGAATAATTCTTTTTTTTTTTAATATGCATATATATATATATAATCTCAGTTAGAATTAATTAATATCTTTGAAGTGTTATTTGTTTTTCGTTTTTTTTTTTTTTTTTCTAATATTCAACCATTTAATTTCTTCATTAACACTCTATGATCTGAAAATATTTTTAAATTGTTTTGTTTTTTTTAAAAAAAAAAAAAATTGAAAAATCAAGACAATTTATATTCAATGTGGCCCGGTTAGTGCTATCAGTTGGAGAAATCAGTTAGCATAAGCTATGGCATAAGTATTTCGTATTATTTAAGTATTTTATTTTTCTTTCAATTCACTTTATTTGCTATCATTTTACCGTGATTTCTCTAAGATTAGAGTTTGATTTAGATTAAAAAATTTAATTCAAGAAAATTTTCTAATGCAGTATAAACTTTAAACATTCAACTTTTATTTATTATTTCTTTTTTAAACAGAACTATCAAAAACTGAATATTTAGTTTATATTATGATAAGTTAATATATGATACTCTCATCATCAGATATTTCATGTGAACAGGTCATGAATTTTAATTATATGCAATGATGGTAGTGTTAAGATAATTTTTATATAAATTTAATCAGTTGTTAGGTAATATAATATTTAATATTAGCTAATTTTGTAAACTTTATATTAAATATTAGCACTGATGAGGAAATTCTGCTCTCCTTAATTATTAATTAAAACAAATAATATTTACGATCATAATTTAACTATAGTATTGACGGACGTCATTCATTTGTGATAAATTAAATGAAAATTTTGATGAATTGCTTTGTCTACGACGGAGAAAATAGAAAGAATCCCGGATTTGATTAAGATGAAAATGTTTGATGAATTTACGCTCATATTCGATCGGGTGAAAACGGCAGAAAATACCGGATATTTGATATAGCCTATGTTGAAATATTTCATTCAATCATTCTCATTTCATTCATTCTTTTAATGATGTAAGAAAATGTAATCAATTTTTTTTCCTCTCTTAAGAAAAAAAAGTTAATAATTCATATTGACTAATGGTCATTAAGTAATATTATCGTCTGATTTTTAGAGCAAAAATAAGATTTAATTATTTTTAATTTTTTAAAATTATTATTAATAATTTATGCTTTTTTTTAGAAAAAAAAAATGTGTTTTCCTCTTTTTTTTTCTTTTTTTTTTCGTAAATTTGTTATTCAATAATTCTTAATTTTATGGTCAATTAAGCATTATGAAAAAAAATTGGTGTGATTTATTTGGCGAATAATTTCAACATTTTGAAAATTATATAAATACAACAAAACAATGGAAGAAATTTATTTGTATATAAATGAAATAATTTTGTTCTTTTGTTCTGTTTTGTTTTTTGTTTTTGCTTTTTTTCAAATGAAAATATTTCTGTTTCTGATAGATATTTATTAATAAGACTTACTGGAATTACCTTATATCAATTGCTGCCTTGAATAAAATTTTAGATTTCTTTTTATGAATTAATAATATCAGCGTAAAAACGTGTTTCATTTATATACGTTACCTTACCTCTTTTATAAAACTTGATTTTCTTTTTACATCATTAACAAATATATAATACATATAAAATCACGTTGCATCTCTTATTGAATTTATCATTTATCATAGAATTATTCTTATGCCTGTGTAATGAAATTATTGAATATTAGTAAAGTTACAATATCATTTTATCATAGAATTAAGATTAGTTAGTTTTGCGTTACGTCTTAATAAATTTGTCATTTACGAAAGTTAATGCTTTTTTGCTTAATATTCCAGCCTTGCTTCTTTCTTTCTGATAAAATAAGCATAAATTGTTAACCACTTTACTTTGTTCAACTATTTCAACATTTGCATAGTTTTATTTAAATTAATCAAATATATATAAAGTTGAAATTAATTGTACATATATTACCCAGTTCTTCATTGCACTAAGTTTATTTCTTTTAATTCATCATTTAATCGATTCAATCAATTTATGATCAAATCAAATATGATATTATGCGCATCTATATGCTTATTTATGAATGTGAATGATTATTTGAAATTTTAAATATAAGTTCCTGATTAATCATTAAAATTTTATTTGTTAAAAAGGAAAAAGAAAGTTTTGAAAACTAAAAATCACATTGGATATTTCAAATATAGCATAAGATCATTAAATATATTTGCTAAAATTTCTATTTCTTTCTTCTAAATCAATTTCAATTTTATTGATTTAAAAGCAAAAACTATTTGAACATCAAAAAATTTTTAACAAAAAAATTTTTAAGAAAAATCAAAAAATTAATAGTTCAAAGTAATGAGTGAAAAAAAAAAATGTGAAAATTTTAGAAAGATAATGATTGTATAAATAAATATTTATAGATCTGATGAAAATGTGAATTAATTTTTTTTTTCGGAACAATAAATTTTCCGTTCCTTTTTTTTTGTGTGTCTGTAAACAATCCATCTTAGATTGTTCACGTATTAATAAAAAAACAAGATGTACATTAATTTTCATTTCGTTCAGCAACATTCATAATTTTGTCTTTTTTCTTATATTTTGACATAAAATTTCATTTTAACATAAATTGAATTTCGGAACTAATAAACAAAAAGAAAAAAAAACAACAAAGAAGTGAAAAAGGAATCATTAATGGATGACATTCATTTAAGGAAATTATTTCGATAATTTACAAAATTTTAGAAATGACATTTCATTCTTCACGTTTGCATTAACAGCAATTTCTTTTCTTTCTCTTTTTCCATTAATTTAAAAAAGAAGTTTTATTTTGATTCTTCTCATTTGCATATCTTTTAAATATATCCAAATTTATATTTCACTTACTCAATTTATTACCGATTGTGTCAATTTACAGTAATTCGTATTAATATAACTATTCTTTACTCTAATATTTTATTTCAAAAATCAAACGAATTCTTAAATTTTCATCACTAATTTCAGTTTTATTTTCTGATCATTTATTAATTTGTTATGCTTTTTTTCTAACAAAAAAAAAAAAAAAAAAGATAATTATAAATTTCTTCTTCTTTTTTTTATTTCAGGTTGACAAATAGTTGACAAATATGTCAGCTCATCTGGCCGCTTATTCTGCGGTAGGATTTAGCATATGTGCACTGGTAGCTTGCCTTATGTTTCTTCCCACTTTATATAATAAGATCTCGGAAATCCAATACGATCTCGCATTGGTACGTGTAATAGAATTATTTAAATATTTTATAATAAATCAAAAAAAAAAAAAATCCGATATGTTTAAATATAGCTTAAATACTGCATCTTAAATATGATATTTAAATGTTTCGAAATATTACAATAAAAGACTACAATAAGTTTTGATTTTAAAAAAAATATAAATAACATATAAAATTTATGCTAAGAATTATAAGCAAAGAGAAAAATTTATTACAAACTATATTTAAATACCATAATATGCTTACAATTTTTTTTTTTTTAGTATTAGACTTTCTCGATAAATTAAAAAATAATATTAGAAGCTTTTATTGTTTTCATTTATTATTATTTAATTAATTTTTTGAAACATCGCATATACATTTATTGTGGAAAATATCTTGATGTAGTTGAAGAATATTTCAAAATAACAAAAAAAAAAAAAAGATTTGTCAACTAATTAACAATTTATTTATTGAAAGCTTTTTTTTTTTTTTTTTTTCATTGAAATCAATCTAAAAAAAAATAAATAAAATATGCAATCATTTTTGTGCCACTAATTAAGGTTTCAGACATTTTTGAAAATATGTGTCTATTAAAAATTTTAAGAAAAAAGAAAATCCTAAAAAATGAATTTTTTTTTAAATTCATAATATTTTCCAAATGGTTTTTATAGTTAGCCATGTTATAACTAATCATATCCAGTTATGATATTAGTAACGATAAATAAAAAAAGAAAAAAAATAGCAAAACTGTTTTTAAAAATTTTTTTGTGTTTAATTTTTTTCAAGTTAAAACCAACTAATTATAGCAATTTTTTTTAGTTAAATTTACAGTAAATTGTTAAAAATAATGAGTTTAAGGAAGAAAAAGGAATTTTTTTTTTGTAATACGTTAAAACGTTGTTAATTTACGTATAATACGTAATAGTGCAGTATAAACATTTTTATTATAAAAATGATTGAATGAATACGAAAAGATTGTAAAATTTAATTAATATGATTAAATTACTATGGTAATTAAAAAAAAAAAAACATTTTCATAAATTTGTTTATTTGTTAGGAATTATATGTGTGTGAGGCAAAAGTACCGCTTATAATTTTATAATTATTTATAATTTGCTAACATTACTGATCAAATGATAATGTTCAAGTTTATCAGGATATGGAAGAATTTCGAGGACTACAAAATGAAATTTATTTTCAAGTGAAGGGCCAAAACATCGCATTTGGCTCTTCGCCATTTGCAATATATCGAAAGAAACGTGGCCTAGCATTACCAGGAGAATGTCGTAAATTGTTTTACTTTCTTTTATTTAAAAACGAACAATTCATCTTCTCAAAAAAAAAAAAAAGTAGAAAAGAGGAAAAATTGAAATATTTGAAAAATTTTTTGTTTCCAACTAATCAATAATATTGTTGGTTTTAGTGATTTTTATCCTATATTTCACTGCTTCTGAATAAATTTCCTATATTTTGGTTGAGATTACCTGCGACAATAACAATTTCAGAATGTGATGCAGCAGCATCTTGTCCTCCAGGTCCGCCTGGTTCACCAGGTGAACCAGGAATGGATGGTATCGACGGGGAACATGGACCACCAGGACCACCGGGATTACCTGGCAATTATCCACCCGTGAATGTAGATATCAAGGCTAACTGTCGTATTTGTCCTAGTGGTCCACAAGGTTTTCCAGGTGTGCATACTTTCCTTCTTCATCAAGCTTTCATTTTGCAGCAATTCATATTGTAATCATTCTATTGAAATTTAAAATATTCATGCATATGCAGTAATATACAAACTTTCAGGTCAACCAGGCCCTCCCGGAGAAATGGGAGAAAATGGCCCACCAGGACCACCTGGATATCGGGGTGAACCTGGATTTGAAGGTCCGCCTGGTAATCCTGGACCAACAGGTAAGTAAATATTTTTGCAAACTATTCAGCAATATCGCTAAGGACCACCTTGAACCAAACAAGGATTTCCAAGTCGGGATAATAATGACGCTTTAATGTGATAATCCAATAAAAATAATGTCCTGAATTTGTGACTGTATTTCAGGTGAAGCTGGTCCTAATGGCAAAAATGGTGCACCAGGACCAGCGGGACGAAATGGTGTACGAGGTTCCAAAGGAGAAGCAGGACCGCCGGGACCCAAAGGACCACTTGGGCCACAAGGATTTCCAGGTCCGGACGGTAATGACGGAAATCAAGGTTTTACCGGAGCACAAGGACCACCTGGACCAGCAGGTGAATCAGGACCGAGTGGTCCACCAGGTTTCAGTGGTCCAATGGGTCCACCAGGAACACCAGGAAGTGATGCATCCTATTGCCCATGTCCACCACGACGTACCACCGTCACGTGATATGTGTAGTGATTGTAACATTTCGCAATTATTTTATTCATGCTGCTTTACTAATACTATAATCAGTGCTTTGAAATTTACCTTATTGCTTTTCACCTCTTCTTTCGTTATTAAAATTAAATTAAATAATTTCCGCAGCAGCAAAATTACCTGGAAAATAATTTAAAATTTTGCAAAAATTGTTAAAATGCAATCCTTTTTTGTTTCTAAATTTCATTTTTCCAAAAGCTATTCTCATATACATATATGTTATCGGTTTCGCATTTCATAATATTTCAAAATTCAAATATTTTGAAGTGAGGAGAGAGAGAATGATTGAAAGATACTATTTATTTATTTCCTTCAATAGAGAAAGGTTGGAAAAATTCCTTAAGAAAATTATTTATTTGAATATAGGAATAACAAGAATTCATAATGAAATTGATAAATAACTTTACATTTTAATCTTGCAAAATTGGCTGATTTAATTATTTTTTTTTTATCATTCATTGATTAAATAGCTATCATTCGATTAATATAAAATAATTTCAGCTACATTTTTGTTGATATTTTGTTTTGTTTACACGTGCAATTGTTAAAATACCGAATTATATAATTCGTCAGTCAAAAATTTTCACTGTTTTTGTTCCTTAACATTTATAATTTTATTGATAAGAGAAAAAGTGGTCATTATAACGAAGTTTTTTAAATTTTTAAGGTTTTTTTTTTCTTCTCTCACTCTCTCTCTCTGACTCTTTTATAAATGTTAAGAATCTAATAATTTGTAAAGTTTAGCACCAAATATAATTAGCACTTACAGTGGTCTCAGTTAGAAGAATAATTCAATAAGATCAGCTATTAAGCATTATTTTATTTAATTCATCTTTTTTATTTAGGACTATTAATTGTTCGAATTAATCAATTTTAATTAGCATGCAGTAATATTACCGGTGTAAGGTAAATTGTCTATATGTTACTTTTGTATCAAATGCTAAACGAATAAAATTTAGTTTAAAAACGGTTCATCTACTTATTATAAAACAGGACAAGTTGGTTTTGAAACTTTGATAAAACTCAAATTTCTTCTTTTATGGTCAAATTTTGGTTAATTATTATTATTAAATGAATTTTCCACATTTAATAGTGCATATCGATTAAAAATATTCGGTTGTTACTATGATCAAAATATTTTTTATTTATCAGTACAAATTACTCGACTGACACTTCTATTTTTAATCATAAGAAGCAAAATTCGAATTATCAAATATCAAAATAAAAAACATTAAATTAAAGGCACTAATCAGTAAATAATACCGACATGTTTTATGAAATAGCAATGATAACAATTCCGTAATTTGTCATCCTTCATAAGTTGATTATATAAATTTTTTCTTTCAAAATTGTTTGATCATTTATCAGTTATTAACAGTTATCATTTGTTTATAGTATCATATCATATTATATCATATCACATCACATCGTCATCATATTCAGTTGTGTTGGATTAATGTAGTAAGAATCAGTAAAAGAGAAAACAACTGTGTTTAATGAATGAAGTCAACTTTACGAATTAAACGAGTTTTATCAAGCAAACTTTAATTAATTATGTATCATTTCAACATTTTCACCTTTCTTCCGTTCCCATTCTTTATTTCTACACTTCATCGAATCATATCAGCAACAATAAATTTTCAAGAAAAAAAAAAATGTTGTAGATTGGAAAAAGTCAAAACAAAAAAAAAGAGAAAAAAAAAGAGGAAAAGATACAAAGACATTAAAGATAAAAAGAAAAACAAGGACGGATTAAATGTTGTTTTCCTATTGAATATATGTATAAATCAAGCAATTATCATCATCAAAATTAAAAGAGAAAAAGAAAAAGCGAAAAGAAAAAGAAGTAGGCATACCGGTGATTACAGAGAAGGTTCAGGTTCATAATTAACAGGAAATGTCTATGACTAATAAAATTAGCATAGAATGCTCATTGTTACAGGCAGTGTTCGTGATTAACAAAAAATGTTTTATGGTTAACAGAGAATGTTAAGTAATTAACAGAAAATGTTTATGGTTATAAAGAATGTTCATGACCGATTTTCAGGATTTTTTATAATTAAGAATGGGAGAAACGTAGAAGGACCAATTCTTTCTTCATCATTACTATATTTCTTGCAAAAAAAAAAAAAAAAAAAAATCATTATTTAAATTAAGTTACTAAATGAATGCTAAATCATCGCTTCATTTTGTCGTTTCAGCTATTTATAAGTTTGCGTTACACATATGAAATAAGTTACATTGTGTATCAGGAATGAGAGAAAAAGTTGCCCCTTTTCTCACTCATTTTCTCTTTCTTTTTTACCTCATTTTTATTAACAGAAATTTCTTGCAGTATATATATGTTTGACAGACGTAACTGATAAATTCTATACCGTAAACAAATCCTACGTGATGGAAGCTTTGAATGTTTGAATCAGAAATTTGAATCATAGAAATATCTTCACCCGAATCATCCCTCAGGCGTCGAAATGAGAAACATTTGACATTACACTGCACAGTGTAAATCACGAGAATTATCCGGAGCAAAAAGGTCATTTTCTGTATTGTATACGACCCCATCAACAACTTTGGTCAACAAGACACTTTAACAACACCAAAAAAAAAAAACCTTTTACCTCCAATACTTCTAAAAATCGGACCTTTTCCTTGCTTGTTCATTATGAAGCTTTATAACTGTCAATAAGGAGAACTTATGTGATAGATTTATCTGGTAATAACATAGAAACTTTCTCAATCAGGACAACATAACAAACTGTTATCAATTTTTATCGAATAAGCAGTGTTCTTTACTTTGCTTTCTTAGCACGGATTTTACGCAGGTAGAATTCAAGCTCTTTACCCTCCAATATATAGCCATCAGCTCGACCAACCTGACCAGGACGAGAGCTAATACAAGCTGAAAAAATAATTTCAATTGCAAAAATAGGTTAATGATAATATCTCTCAGAATGAACAATTGTTCCAATCTTCGGTGAGGTTATCCAGCAGAACAGTGGAACAACCCGCATCTGAAGGATGATATGATTTCCGAGAAACTTAGCACAGAGACAGACACCTAGTCCACACTGTGACTCTGTTCTCGTTTGGCAACATTTGAAACTGTCAGGCAGAAACTGAACTTGCGAGACGCTTCTCCGTAAATTGTAATTATAGCAGTTTACTACTGACTGGCTACTAATTTACAACAGTGTTTCATGATTTGTTGATGGATCAAATGATTAGCAAATATGTGTAACCTTTAATCTCTCCCACTACTAAAACTTGTCAGAATAAATCAAGAATAAGGTACTTTTCATTGTTTTTATCCTAGGGCAGACGATTCGAAATACAAACCCAATCAACCGATATCTTTCACTAATAGTTTACACTTCTTCCTTTTTTTGCAACGTTCACTCCCACCATATTCCAAACTTTAGTTCAGAATTGAAGACGAAAAAACGAACCTAGCAACCGACCACTCTGGAACTGTTCGATAAGATGTGGCTCAACCTCAGCAAGCTTTTGTCGCTCTGTATATTTTGCCTGTACTTTCTTTGAACGCTTCTTATTGATTCGTGCCTCTTCCTCATCCGTGAGTTTGGCACCTTTTTTGCGTGCCAATGGAACAGCATAATGTGCTTCGTACCACTGACGAAATGGAACAGCATCAACAGTAATTATTGAATTTTTAACCAGTGTCTTAGTGCGTACTAATTCATTATTGGATGCATTATATACGGTGTCGACGATACGTGTTTTACGGGTGCAACCTGCAACCAGGACAACAATCAACAATTAAGAAGTGTTAAATGTCTTAATATATTTAACATTCACTGCTTGCCAACTACCGAAGAAATTAGTTTGATTAACAAAATCATCTCATCCTATCAATAAATCTTACTCGTGATATGCTTCCAACTAGTTCTTATCATCATAGGCAAAAGTAAAAACTACAAAAGAAACAATAAAGAAACCTTCTGATCCCCACGAAAATGTACCAACATCAAGTCTCAGTGCACGATGCTTGATATTTCCACCACGGCAACGAACAAGATGAATTCTTTTTGGACCAATCTGCAAGCTACGATTTCTACGTAAGCAAATACACCAATAAATAAATAAACACATAAACAAAGGGAAACAGCTCTCTTTGAATGCCTATCTCTTCGAACACGTATCTGATCTATACTCATTTTCATCTTTTTAATAACGGCATTCTGTTTGATAGTTTTTCTTTGTAACTTTTTCTGATAAATTTCGCAACATTTTTGCGTTTTGAAACAGCTGTAAAGAATGGGAATTCTAATTTTATCCATTTCACACCAAGACTGAGCAGAGAAACACCTACAAGCTTCCAAAGGAAAAAAGACATAACAGTTAATTCACTTTTGTATTTGATGCAGGACGCCCGAGCTCGAACTTCCTCTTTTTATGTGGCGGACATCTCTTTCCACCAGTAGCACGTCTCTTATGCCAATTATCACGTGAAATACCCATCACCAATCAACTTGAGGATCTTGAAAACAATAGATATATGTTTGCATTTTTATCGATTTAGCAGGATTTCATGAATCTAATAACGATACCGTAACCGCGATAAAAAGGTTATCAGCTTCGGGAATGGGAATAGCAATCATCTGTCAAATCAACTGACATTTTACAGACGAATTTCTCAAGAATTTGTTGTTTCCTGAAAAAAAAGAAGGAAATCTAGCTACGTCCTATTAATTCCTACAAAGCATTATAACATACTAAAACTAATTCTATAACTTTTTTTTTAACTTTAAGGTTAAACCACCCAAGGCTTACAAACAACTACCAACAAGAACGCCAGATGCCAACCCCAACCCAAACAGTAACTTCAGCCCACTTCAAGAAACAGTTGCTTCTTGGTAGGCCAGTAAGATTATGCGGCCAGTTCCCGAGTTATTTTGAGACACTGTGCAACAGGATGTCCTACAGCAAGTTTATAATTCCAGTTTTTCTCGAGCCATAGATGATTTACTGAAATGATTTGTTATTTTTACGTGATTTTCTAAGATTTTTCGGCAGAATGCAGTATGAAGTTTAAATTCAATTATGCTTTTATTACGAATCATTAATTAGAAATCAAAGAGCGTAGGGGAATGTAAGTATATAAATTAGTAAGAGCTTTAAATGGATTGAATTTATTAAACGAAATTAGTTTTTTTGGTTTTTCGTGGGACAATTACTTTTTTTCCAGATCTGATCCATTTCTTTTAATTGATTTAAAAATATTATTTTTGAAGTTCAAGTTCAACGTCCGCATTGTCAGTGGACAAGTAATTTTTACCTGTTTTGTTTTAGAAAAAATTTCTTGAATAAACTCTTAAATAATAAGCTAATATTTAATAATGGAAGCCTTATTCTCCTTCGTTATAGAATTTTTTTAAAAATAAGTATGAAAGTAAGTAATTTAGTAGAAAAATATTACTAAAACTTTTGAAACTACTAAATGACAAATGATGTTTAAGTGATACACTGAAAAAATAGAATAAATTTGTAGTTATTGCTAATTACAATTAAAAAGCATTTATCCTTGTCTCCTAAAATATTTTCTTATTTTTTTCAACTTTTCAGTTACCTATACCTGTACACGCTATCCTAGGTTATTTTTTCTAGCCATATTCTAAAGTGATCCTCCAATCCTTCCCTAAGTTAAATCAGAAGTAACCATATCCCAGATAAGACTCCTGTATGAGCCAAAGGTCAAAATAATGTTACTATTCAAAAGCCATACTGTAATTATATCGAAATTTATTAATTTAGCTGTTATTTATCACAAATGACTTGTCATGCTGCAATTGTTTTATATTGGGGTTTAAATTCAAAATTTTGGCGCCTTAAATAAAATTTATGGGAAGTAAGAATTACTAAAATTATTTCACTGCGTTGGTTTATAACGTATAAAAAGTGTCAATGTAGTAATGTTTGATTTGTTTCCATTCAAGTACTGGCCTTTTTGCTTATAATTAGTATTCAAGCATTCAATATGCGTCAATTATTTAAATGTTGTGTAATTTGTAACATGATAATTCATGTCGACTACTTGATTATTTTGGTGTTTTGCACTTCTTGATAATAATTACTTAGTAGTTGCTTAGATTTTAAAATTCATAGCTAAGTAGATGAACACATTAATTACTCAGTGAAGTATTTTTTGAAATTTTAGATTTATAAATAGGTAAAATTCTTAATCCAAATATTTTTGTATGAAGTGTTAAGTAGCTTAATGAGAGTAGTCAACCGGAAAGTAGTAAAAGTCCTCTTAGAATAGACACTTGTGAATATGAGGACATGGAAGAAAACTTTTAAAAGCGACAGTGAGGAGGAAAGATTTTTCAAAACAGATATATTCTACAGTTATCTATCCTCGAATAATATGGATTTAATCAGTCATGAAGATGAGAATCGATCGCGTGAAATCACATTGGAATATCTGAACTTCCTGGATGATTCTGTATGTTCCATTATAAAATTTTCTCGTTTCTTACCTTTATAAATTTGAGAAAAAATACATACTGTTTGCAGCATCTATTTGTATGTATATTTTATAATGAATTACCCAACTTTCAGCTTAATGAAACCTTCCATGTGGAGTGACTGACTTTTAGTGAGATATGATAAACTTTCACAAGATATGCTTTCAATGAAATAACAAAAGTTCGTGTAGATTAACGGTAATGTAACGGTGAACAACAGCTTAATTCGATGTTTGTTATCAAATCATTTCTTGTATTAAATTTTTGATATGTACTCAAGGGTGATGACAAAGTTTACATGCAAAAATGTGAAGATATGATCAAGGAGAATGGATCAAGAATTATCATCAATCTAAATGAACTTCGGAAAAAACTTCCACAGCGTGTTAATGGGTCAGTTTTTTTTTTTTTTCAAAATATTTTCTCTAAGTGTCTGAAAGTATCCTGATAATTTCAAAACGATAATGTTTTCGCATTAGTAGATTAAAACATGATGATGGGGTTCTCTTCATTACTTATTGGATAATCGGTGAGAGCTTGTCAAATTCATCCAATGAATCACGAAGAAATTGTAGTTTAGGCTGTTGCGAAATTTTGTGCCTGAAATTCTATGCTTGCAACAAGCGATGAAGGATTACGTAAGCCGGTTAGATCCGGAATATGGAAAAATTCGGGATTTCACCGTTGGTTTCGAAGGCAGTTTTGGTGATCGACATGTAAATCCTCGAACATTAAAGTCGCAGTTTCTGGGTAGTATGGTTTGCTGTGAAGGTATCGTCACCAAATGTAAGCTGTTTCAAATTTGAATTTTATTAGGAAATGAAGTATGTTTGAAGATTGATTATGCGAAATGATATGTTTAGAAAATTAATGGGACATAAATGAAAGCAATATTATAAGTTTTTATGAATTATGCAATTGATAACTTTCTAGAGAGAATTCTACTTATTTGGTGCAGAAAATTCCTCTGCTTCACACCATGAGTTTTGAAATGGGAAATAACGCTTAGAAATTTAATTATACTTCAACCGTTAATGAAATGATCAGGGAAAAAAAGTTCAGTCAATATAGGAAACTCTTAGCAACTTAGTTACAACGAGTATATGGCAAATCTTTGCATTGAAATAATCTGATTATCCATTGCTAATTTAGCGGATATGTTAAAATGGCTTTTTCAGGTTCTGCGTTACGTCCAAAAGTGGTTCGTAGCGTACATTACTGTCCTGCAACTAAAAAGACATTTGAACGTCGTTACACCGATTTAACATCATACGATGCTTTCCCGTGTAGCACAGTTTACCCTACTGAGGTACGTGCTTGCAAAAACTTATTTTTACCGACAGTATATCATTTTGCTTTTTAGTTCGTCTTTTTGTTTGCTTTCAGGATGAGAACAAGAATCCACTCGAAACGGAATATGGCTTAAGTACTTATCGAGATCATCAAACATTTTCTATACAAGTATTTTTTTTTGAACTGCTGATTGCTTGCTTTTCTTCGAAATTAGACTTTTCTGGTTACTTTTCCACAAAAAACAAAAACAAAAAAAATTTAATGTTATGCATATGCGATCATTTTGTAAATAAATTTTTTTTTAGTTAAGAATAATTTTCAGTCATTTCACCGATAAATATATTATTCTAAACAGCACTTTACCAAGTACATAAGCTAGATTTTACGTACATTTACATAAAGGTAAAGAGTAGCGCAAAGGAAACATATTTTTTAATTAATATTAAAAATCTGAATGTCTAACAGTTTCCTACTTAGGAGCTGCCAGAGTATGCGCCACCAGGGCAACTACCGCGTTCAGTAGATGTCGTGGCCGATGATGATTTAGCTGACAGCTGTAAGCCTGGCGATCGTGTCCGTGTTATAGGCTTATACAGATGTTTACCGAACAAACAAAATGGTTATACCAGTGGCAGTTTCAGGTATGTGATAGAAAGAAAAAGAAGAATTAGATAGGAATGGTAATTGTTGAGATATATAAGTTTGAAATTCTCAATATTAGCTTGCGAATTATATGTAGCTTGAGATTCTTAAACATCTAATAGAAATCGATTCTGTTTCAAACTTTTTATATAACTTCTGTCTTGAGATCTTAAACATTTATGTTGTAAATATTTTTTTTTTTTTATGAGACAATCTTTATAAATTTATGAGGCAGTCTTTATGAAATTGATATATGGATGATATACAACAGTGTTGATAAGGCCTACAGGTGTTGCTGTGATGCAATCTTTGTTATGAAATATTTGACTGAATGATCTCATAAATTTACCCCTGTCCTAAGCTGTGTTTCATGAGATCTTTCACGTTGCTTCAATATAAGGAAAAAGAAAATTTCTGTTGAAATGTGAAAAACAGAGTGAAGTAAAGCAGATATTTCCAAATAGAAAAGTCAGTACTTGACAAATACTACTCCTATTTGTTATGCTAATTATAAATAATAGTTACAATTGGACTATATAGTTGTAATCGTTACAATTTATTCGTTAAAATGATGTATTGCAGATCGATTATTATTTCCAGTAATATACAATTATTAAGCAAGGAGATGCAGCCAAATTTCTTACCAGATGATATTAAAAATATTCGCAAAATGAGCCGACAAAAAGTTAGAATATGTTATTCTTTGTGTAGTTATATCACTTTTGTAAAAATTCTTGTCAAAACTGTATTTTGTGTCTTTCTGAGCCCACATCCTGAAGCTTGTCATTATTTTTAAGAATATATTTGATACGTTGGCAAGGTCGTTAGCACCATCGATTTGTGGTCACGATGAAGTGAAGAAAGCAATACTTTGCCTGTTACTTGGTGGAAATGAAAAGATTCTGCAGAATGGTTCACATATTAGAGGAGATATTAATATACTTTTGATTGGTGATCCATCAGTGGCAAAAAGTCAGTTGTTGAGGTAATAGTTAAAGTGCTTTGTTATTAGTAAGTAATTTGTTATAAGTAAGTTTTCCAATAATTTTGTGAACTTCACATAACTTGAAAAACTTAACTGAAAATTTAAAATTATTTGCACTGAAATCCTAGTTATAGTCTTGATTATTCTGTTTCTTCGTTTATTCGCAACAAATCATTTTGGAAGGTTGTTTAGTTAAAGAGAGCAGTTCCGGAAGAGTGTAAATGAGTAGTAATGTTATTATTTATCAAATATTCTTGCATGTTTTATAGTAACAAGCATCTGCTTAAGATATGTACTGCATACCGCACCACGCGCCATAGCAACTACTGGACGTGGCTCAAGTGGCGTGGGTTTGACGGCAGCAGTTACAACTGACATTGATTCCGGAGAACGCCGTCTCGAAGCTGGTGCAATGGTTTTAGCTGATAGAGGAATCGTTTGCATTGATGAGTTTGACAAAGTAATGTAATTAAACGACTCATTTTTACATCACAATATTCCGAGAAAGTTTTGAAACTTTATTCGTTTGAAACTGTATACATTGTTTATAAAATTATGCTGTTGAATTGATTCAATAATTAAGGTAATTCATTCCTTTTTCAAAACTTTTTTTTTATTTTCTGTAGTTTTATACTCAGCTTTTATTTTTGCTGCTAATAATGAAAGAATCGCGACAAATTTCAGATGTCTGATATTGATCGTACAGCAATACACGAAGTGATGGAACAGGGACGAGTAACAATTGCTAAAGCTGGAATTCATGCAAAATTGAATGCGAGGTGTTCTGTTCTTGCTGCTGCAAATCCAGTATTTGGAAGAGTAAGCATGAAACAATAAGTTTTTCTTCACGATTTTACACTATTATTTGTATGGTGTTATAATTTTTCTTTTTTCAATTGAAATATTTTGCAGTATGATTTATTCAAAACACCCATGGAAAATATTGGCATGCAAGATTCACTGTTGTCCCGTTTCGATCTTATATTTGTCTTGATGGATGAGGTAAAATTTCGTTTTATTATAGTTTTATGAAAATATTTCAAAATTGCCATAGTGTTTTCCAATCAAATTGCCACAGCGTTTCCTTCTTTTTTGAGTTTATAAACTAAGCGTTTCTATTATTATGACCATAAGATGTACAAATCGTACCTTGTTGCATATTACAGTATATTAAATAATTGTGTTGAATATAAAGCGTGAAATTCTCCTGATACTCATACCATTATAGTTGCATTTGAATGTTAATTGTAACACAATTGTGAAATTAGTATTAAACTTTGTTTGATAACTTATGTATAGAAAGAAAATAAAAATTGAAAAGTGGACATAGTATTTTCAGCACGATCCAAATCATGATAATAATGTTGCGGAGCATATCCTGAAACTTCATCAGTATCGTACGCCCGGTGAACCGGATGGTGCAGTGCTACCAATGGGAGTTGATATTGAAACACTTACGACATTTGATATGGAAGAAGTATCCACGACAAGCGAAACTTACGAAAAAAATAAAGACTGGTGTGCTGGTAAGGCAAGGTATGTTATTATTTAAAATATATATATATATATATATATTATTATTTTTAAAGTGAGAAATGTAGAAATTTTTAACGTGACGTAATTTTGATCAGTTACTCTAAGCGTTCAAAAAACAGGAAATAACGGAAGGAAACATAAGAATTTTGGATAGTTTTGTCTTTTGTCAAAAATTTAATTACTTATCTATTAGTATAATTAACTATTAAATATTTATATACAAAAGTTTGGTTATTAGCTGTAATTCAGGATATAGTAAGTAAAAGTAGGTAAAAGTTCTTTGTTAGTGAACTCCTGCTAAAAAATAAATCAATACACTAATTTATCAAAAAGAGCACTTTTTTGCAAATTTTAAAAAATGTTGCCTTTAGTGACAAATTGTTTACAATGCAGTTTGTACGAAAGTACATTCATATGGCAAAATCCGTGAAACCGAAATTGACGGAGGAAGCTTCTGCTTATATAAGCGAATGCTATACTGAACTACGCTCATTTGATACATCCAAAACCGATCGCGAGCGGGTATATTTGAGTTTTAACGAATCTCTAGATAAAAATATTTACTTTATGGAAAATTATTTTTGATCATCCCATGCTCCCTTTCATATTATCATTTTATTATTGTTCTATGAACGAGTTGCACTTTGAGACATTAACTATATTTCCAAATGAAAAATTAAATTTGATAAGACGTACAGTTAGATGCTTACCAAGATTGCGCGAAATATATCTATTGTTTTGTTACTAATACCGTTAAATATTTTTCTCCCTTAATTTGTAGTGAAATTTTGCAGACTATGCCAGTGACAGTAAGGCAATTGGAAACATTGATTCGTATTTCAACAGCTATGGCAAAAGCACGATTAGCAAAGGATGTGGAACGATCAGATGCAGAGAAGGCTTATCAATTATTGCATTACGCATGCTTTAAAGAAAAGCCAAAAGAACGACTGGAATTGGAAGAAAAACGTAGAAGGAAACATGGAACAAACGAAGAAAGTGATGATGATGATGAAGCAGAGGATGAAGAAATTGAGGATTTGGAGGTTAAGCTTCTTCCTGACTTTTAGTTTTTGACATATCTTGATGAGTCATTTAGTGCTAAAATTTGTTAATGAAAAGTGCCAATTTAGAATTTAACTTCGACAGAAAGAATGGCAACACAGACTTCATTTCGACGCTCGAAAAGGTTTTATTTCTTACACTAAGTCATTAGATATGTTTTCATTTATTAAATGTGCAATTGTAATGATATTAAATAATTCTATTCACAATGGTATTTTACTTTCATTTTTGCATTATTTCTCAAAATGTGTTCAACTCATGTTCCCTTATAGTATGTCTGTGTTTCATTTTTAGATATGGTGGCGATACTCAAGTATCTGGTCTTACTGATTCAGAAACAACTACAGCACGTCTGGGTGAATCTAGCATGGATAAAACAATGGATACTTCGGAGCTGAATGGTCCTAGTCCAAAACGACCACGTCATGAAACACCATCTATTAGCATCGATCGGTTATTCACTTTCTCTTGCTGCAATTTGCCAAATTTGATTACTTTAACAAACTCTTATGGAATTTATTTTTTTTAATATTGAGCAGATACGGAATTTGTAACAAAGCAGTCATGGAGAGCTTAACTGTAAGAGTTGGCTTCTTATGTAGATATTGGTTCTGTGTCTCAAAATTTTTCGTAACTTAATATCAAATTAAAATTTTTACGATCTTTCCAATATTACTCACTAATACTTCTTGCTAAAAATCTGTTGGATGAAATATTTAGGTATAAAACATTCCGTAAATATTTGAGAAAAGCTTTCGATGACTGTGGTAATCCAGATGATATGATCGAACTTTCCATAATCCGCAATGCAATTCAAGTTAGCTTTTTAACGACTTATAGTGGTTGTTTTAAAAAAAGATTTGATTCACGTAGTCTCATCTTTTTCTGCAGTATTTTACTGCATTCATATTTTAATAAATTTAATGAGCAGGAAATTACTAAAAGCAGATGATCAGTCACTTTAGTATTTCTACTTTTTCTTTTCGAATTTGTTTAGGTTCTTTCTCACTTTAATTACAATTTCATTTTTTTTTTTTTTTTTTTTTTTACAGAAACGTTGAATAATGCTTTAATCTTATTTATTAATGTGTATCTTGTCGTTTGGATATTTTTAGGAGCAAGCTGGACGATTACCGTTTAGTGATGGAGAATTTGAAGCAGCTTTCGAACAGCTAACAACCGAAAATATTGCAATGATTGCAGATAATCGGATTACACTCATCTAATTTTGATATATATATATATATATATTTAATTACTGGAAATATTAGAGTCTTTTTTTTTTTGTTTTAATTCTGTGGAATTAATTATCAAAAATTAGTCGCTTTTTTGCTCTTTCTTAAAGGTTTTAATTTTGTGCAAATTGTGGTGAAAAAATTGGGATTAATTTAGCTTTTGTGTAGTGTAAATTAATTAACCCTGTAGTTTTTTTTTTTTTTTTTTTTCTAATAACAGACTTCGTCTCAAAGCATTTTATGTTTCCTTATCATTCAAACTGGAAATTTTGGCGGAATTGAATCGTTTATAGTATCTATGAAGAAAGTGCAGCACTATATTGAATTTTATATCTGATATTTCTATTACTGTCGAGTAAAATTTAGAGCGTTGTTTGTTCGCATAAATTCCGTAGCAGAATATTTCAGTAATTAGGTTGAAAGAGAGAGGGAGAGAATACGAGAGTAGTTTTTTCTTTTCTATATGATAGCAAATAATTCGAACCATAAAAATTCAACATATCTGGAGGAGACATTAAAAACTATTCCAGATGTTTTGGTTTTAGCCATATTATTGTTCCGAATCTTTCTTCTTACAGTTATTTCATATTTTAATGGTGCAAAAAGGATTACAAGTAAAGAATAGTTCTAGAATGACTGGAATAGATTTCCGGAGTACTCACAAGCAATTCTGAGTGGTAATGTTTATGTGTTATGCTTTGTAGACTTTCTAAATTATTCTTACCTTATTTAATTAACAGGCATTTTTTCACGGGGGAAATAATTGCAAGGAAAATGTGTAATATATGTTTTTATTTAATATAATCGTTTGTCTTACATATCATTAAATGTAAGCTGTGCGAAAGTAATTTAATAATTATATTTTAAATTATATCACAGTAATGTGCCATTGATGTGTCCGTATTGTTATTGTTATTTTATTGTTGTCATTACTGTTATTGCTGGTGTCGTCCAACATAAGTAATAATAATGATAATAATGGCAACAGTAAAAACAGTAATAGTGAAATTGTCAAATGATTGGAATAACAATCACAATAAACGCGACAACAAAACAATAACAACAACAACATTAATCGATGGAGGTACTCCTCCTCCCTCTCTCTCCGATACCTTCCCCTCTCTCCCTGCTGTCTCCTCTCTCTCTGTGCTTTCTCGATGATGGTAAAATTAAATGAAATTGAGGAAGAGAAGTTCCTCTCTCTCTCATTCTTTCGGCTAGTAGTTGTAGTAGTTTGTATTTGCTGGCATGATTCCTTCACTATCTCAAACAATTAATTGAAAGTCGAGGGTATGGAGAGAAAGAGAGAGAGAGAGAGAGAGGGAGGGAGGGAGCGAGGGTGGGAGAAAAAGTGGGAAGTTAGAAAGGATAGTTTCTAAAATTTTAATAGCTATATTTCCTGGCTGTCTTACAATGAGTTTCTTTCCCCATTTAATTCACAAATACATCGGTCTGTTGGGATACCGCGGGATAAAATTTTCTCTTATAACCTTACAATGAGGGAAATTGTTGAAAGAATGAAAAGGATGGAAATGTTATGGAAAAAAAAGCTGTTGCAATGATTACTTTCTTTAGATATAAATGAGATTTTCAAATATTTTTTTTTTTTTTTTGAAAGATATTAAATAGTAATTATTAAGGAAAGGACAATTTCGATTTCTTTTTTTTTGATTTTCATAATATTTAATGATAAGTTTACAGTGTGATGAGTTAATATGGAAGAATTTATGAAAAAAAAAAAGTAGATGGGAAAGTTTAATTTTTAGAAAATTTTTAGTTCTTGTACATTATTAGATCTGTAAAATTTATTGACCAACATTATTTCATACTTTTATTAAACAAACATTGTATCCATTATCGATTGTTTATCATTTGAGATATATAACTTTAACTGTTAACTGCTAACAATTATAAATTTAATGCATTTTTAAGTGAGTTCGTTTTTCATTTCAATCTCGAAATTATTTAGAAGCTTATTTATTTATCATTCAGTTATTGGCCGTCCAAAAAAGCTATCTATCTTGTCTGTTATCACTACTTTTTTTATTCATGCAAATTGAAAAACAAAAGTGTTATTCGAATATATAATAAAAATTGTGAAATGTCAAGATAATTCGATGACATATAACTTTTCATCAGCCATCTACATTTATGTCTTTGTTTGTTTGTTATTTCCTAATTTCATAATAACATTAAAGCACTTTTTCTTCTTTTTTTTATCTTCAATTAGCATTAAAAGCCTAATTTTCGATTTTTGAGTAAGTTTTTATCTTATATACGCTAATCTTTATACTGTTATAATATATATTCGTCAAATAGTAATTAATGTAATTATGTGAATCGTTAAAATCATATTTGATAACTATCTAAAGTTTCGGCAGACGATTGATAGCAATCATTTAAATCTTTTTAGAAGAAAGAAGAGAAACAAAATCGATTGAAGTGAATAATAGCGTGGTAGATGGGAGAAATTTTTATAAATGGTACAGTGGTTGATAATAAGTTTGTTAGTCAATTCTTTTTTATCTTTACAGAAAAATGTAATTTTGATCAAATATATCAAATGTATGTATGATTTTCACCGAAAAAGATAAAAAAATGAAAGTGTAAAGTTTTTTTTTTTTTTTTTTTTTTTTTTGTAAAAAGTTAAAATTAAAAATGACATTTATCATTTTTTGAAGTGAAAGTGACAAGGGAGTTTGACAAATTGGATGTAATTGAAACTTAATTAGCTAATTTAGATTATTTTATTGTGACTTAAATTATTGCAAAAATTTTATTATATTTTGTATAGTTATCATTAAATTCAGTTATCAGGCATATCGTTTGTTAGTAGTATTATCCATGCTTAATTCGAACAACAAGTTTGAAATGCTATAAAAAAAAATTCTTTTCTTTCCGAATTTCTGACAATATCTCTCTAAGGAATATACATTGATTGCAAAGTTTTTACGAGCGAAAAAAGGAAAGATACATTTAAAAATTCATGAGAAATCATAAATCAAAAAAAAAAAAAGCGAGCAGAAATTTATGTTATTAAAAATGATGCATTAAATTTTTTCAGAAAATTTAGAAATTTAGAAAAATGCTTGCAAATAATGTGAAAAATGCAAAAAAAGTTTTCTTACCATGAAATTTACTGTAAGAAAAATATTAAATGCGAAAATTTAGCCAATTAAGAGCAAACAAAAAAAAAAAAAAAACTTACTGTAGTGATATTTCCAGGGTGGATTTGATCTGTCATGAGGTAATATTTTAGGAATTAAAGTAACAGAATTAAAATCACACATCATTTTGTTTAGAATATCGAGATTTCGGCTATTTGTTGTTGTTAATGTTATTGTTGCTTTATTTACTAGTAGCTATGATAATATTCCATAAAAGTATTTTAAAATGTGATAAATGTGTTTGTCAATTAATTAATTTCTATTAAAATTGATTTCATCAATTATGTTTATATGCCAGCTGTTACTGATTTACCAAAAATCTATACTTGCACTTTTCTTTACCCTTTTTGTGCTTTCCTTTTTACCTTACATTCATTTTTAATTTATTGGAAAATTTGATCGCATAAAGTAATAGTAAATTAATTTTTAATTTTTTCATTAAGAAAAAAGAGTTTAAAGAACTTTTCTTCTGATCTCTTTCTTATTTTATAAAAAAAAAAAAAAAAAAATGGTACAAAAATGAAAGGAAAAAGAATACATTTTGCTTATATCCATTATTTTTCAGTTTTATTTACTTGTTTGTAAAATCAATGTATTTTAATTTAGTATTGCACATTTACTAACCTATTTTATTCTACTTTTTACTTATTTAATTGTTAAGTTAGAACTAACTATTATGATTTATTTATTTCAGTTGAAGCCATTTCTGTTTCATTTTAGCATCACTAAATTTAATTCCTCGCTCCAGTTTACTTAGAACAGTTCCATACAACCGATTTACCTTATCATTTAAAGAAAGGTGAATGAAACAAGCAATATCTTTATTTGAATAAGATTTTTGGCTGCAAAAATTCGGAAATTAAATTTTAGGAATGAAATAACTATATTTGAGATAAAATGAATTGATTAAATGCTTCATCATATTTTAAGTTTTATTTAATCTTTTCATCGGTATGGCTGGTTAAAGTTGAAATAAAGGAACATATCAGTAATAAACATATTAACTGTCTGATATTTCATTAGCTTAATTCATTATAAATTCACTAATTAATTAATTTTAATTATGCTTAATATTCACTATAAAAACAATGACAAACGTATTATTACATTCAATAACGATAATAGTGTACTTAAAATTTTAAATGCTAAGAAAAAGAGAAAAAAGAAAAGAAAAAATTTCAGAATAACTATTGAAGTTTGAGATTTGAAGGGCTGATTGTATATCTAATGAAATGGATTTGATAGATGATGATGATACTTTAAACGGTCAATTTACATCAGTATGCTCATCATCATTACTGATAACAAGTGATAATTCATCAAAGATTGACGAGAATGATTCGACTGATAAGGTATGCATTATTATTTTTATTCCAGTAATGATTTGTTTGCTAATATTACCTAAATTCGATTAAAATTTATACTTATCTATGCATAATGCTAAAATATATTTTTCCATTCTGTTATCAGAATTATCTCAATTGAAATTATTCCTATTTCAACTGTGGGGATGATACCAGTGTCAACTATCAGAATCATCCGGTGATATCTTATTTTTGAGTGTTAGTACTGGTAATATTATTTTGAGTGATAATACCAAATAATTGTGTGTGATCGGAATATTAACTGTTCATATCAGTTCTTTATTTCATTGATACGGTTTTATTATTAACTAAAAATATTATCACTGAAACTTTCTTTCAGGATGGTAATAATATAGATGTGATGAAATTACAAAAAAAAAAAAAAAAGAATAAATAATTTTAATAAATCATATAATGAATAATTTATTATAATTAGTAATTTATATAATAATTATATGAA